CTGTTTATCATCTAGAAAGATGAGGGACTACTACATTTCAAGTACACTCCCAAAATTGTTTTAAAGTCTTTAATTGCAGTATTACAATTCTTTTGTGTCACAAGATGTCGTAAAATGTTTTATGTACATAACTATACTGTCACAAAATGTAAAAAAGTATAGACGTATGAAATTGTATTTTTTAAACTTTACCTCTAAGAACCTTCAGATATGCCAACTCAAGTCTTAAATATTTCAACAAATAAATTCAGTATTTTAAAGCTTTGTCATAAGATATAACTACAAGTGAAGGTATGGCACATAAGAATAACTCGAGAAAAAAAAATAACTCTGAGGCTACTTTTCAAACTCCATGTCTCACAGAACCCATACTAACACTCAAAATTCAAGGAGCACCCTGCTAATCACTGCTACAAGACTGATGCTAAGGTACTCAATGGCGCGCCGCCTGCCTGGCAAGTGCAAAGTCCTGAGTTTGATTCCCAGTACCAAAAAATAAAAATAAAGACTGTTGCTGATGGGTTCTTTCAAATGTTTAGAAAGGTGATAAACTGAGGTATGCTGAACTCTAGAATACCTAAACTCAACAATTAAATTAGTTTAGCATCTGCTGATGCCAGTGGTTCACGCAGGCTTGAACAATTATTTTCCTTTCATCTTTTTCAAAGTAGGTAGTCTTCTCAAAGGCAAGAAGTTCACTGTGGTTTCACATGCACAGAAAACATTCTGTGCATCAACAAAAACACAAGGACTACAAAGATCATACTATTGGTTAATTTAGTTACATGTACTTGAAAATACATACCTCCAATGCTGTTATCTAGTGATAAATCAATGATCCAAAAGATTCAACCTAAAGTTAGTAATACACAGTATATTCTTTTTCCAAAAGGTCATTCAAAAGCTGAAAAAAACTGTTCTTTAACATCTCACGTTATGTCTCTCACAACCATGGTAGCAGCATAAGACAGGCTAGCCACTGATCTCACCATGTGTAGCCTATGTGTTCCTGTACTTGTTAGGCTTCAATTGTCTACTTTTCGAGAAAACCTCAATAATGAATAATGTATACAACTGCACTGTTTTTAATGGGCATAATTACAAGATGGTGCAGGGAGGCAGGGCTGGGTTCTAGGCAATCACAAGTCTGTTGAACTATACTCCCCAACCTAAATCCCAGGATTTTAAATGTGAAATTTATATAATTATGAAAAAAATGTAGGTACATATACTAACCTAAATAAAATTTAAGGTTTAAAATCCACAGTACAAAGACCATTTGAAAACATCTATTTGCTAAATCCACTGAGAAACTAGAAGCAACTTTTAACAGCTGTCTAAATAACCACAAAATATTAAACATTCTGGCTCAGTATAAATGACATATGAAATGAGATACTGCCTCCTCCAACAGACATCTCATTTGTTTGCCTAGAATCATTTATATTTCATTTAAGCCAGCTGGTGTCTCCATTTGCAAGCATGTATCAATGTCTCGTGTGCAATCTATGTTCCTGTAAAGTTTTCTCCATTCACAAGCTGCAGTTCCCATTTTTAATGGCAAGTTTCCAGCAAATATGAGTTCTTACAAAAGAATTTAACTCTTTAACTCAATTCCTAAGGCAACCTACATAATGATACCAAACCATAAACAATGTGTATTAATGTGTCTAACAAGTTTGCAAAGAGGCTGACATCCACAGATAGCTCTCTTCCCCAGACCATTAATATGCTGCAAAATTATGAAAACAATGTGGCAGATTTGACTAAAGTGTTTTGCAATGCTGTGTAATATTTTGGTTTTTAAAATAATTTCTTTCTTGGAAATGTTATGGCAATCTTCTGGCTAAACAGGAATATTATAGATTGTCAAAAACCAATGAATAAAGATAGAACACTTTGTTTTCTACTTGCCAGCGTGACCACTGATGCAGTTACTATAGGGATTCATTATAAACATGTTTAGTATTTCGTTCCCTCTAGCCACCTTCAATCATTATTCACTTCACCTGTACATACTGGAGTTTTACAAACACTCACCACCACCACCCTACATTGCGGTGTGAAAACTTTTTTCTGTAAAGGACCAGACAGCAACAATGGGGCTTTGAGGCAATAGTATCTGTCACAACTACTTAACCTTGTTGTTTTAACCTGCAATGGTTAAAAAACTAAATGAGCACAGCTGTGTTCAAATAAAACTTTTATTTATGGACACTGAAATTTAAACGTGACACCATTTTCATTTCACAATATAATCATTTTCTTTTCCAATCACTTAAAAATGTGGAAAAAAATAGTTTTAGTTCTCAGTCTATACAAAAACACAGCCACGGTCTTTCAGCCCTACCAGAGACCACACTTCTGAATTAGTAACCCAGGTATCCAAACCAGATTTAGAACATGCTGTGATAAGGGACTGCTAAAAAACCTAGTCTTGCCAAGCAAGCAAGCTTGACTTCCTTTCAGTTTAGCTAAGCCTTGTCCCAGTATTAAGCTGTAACAGTTTGAAAACTATTGATTTTTAATAAGAACAGTCATTAAGTCAAATTTCATAATCACCTTCCCAGAACTACTAAAATAATAGCTGGGGCTGTAAATAGCATCCAGGTTTCTAAAACTAATAAAACTATGTAACTTTAGTTGTAACCCTAGGAGAAACCACATGAGTAATACTTCCAGAAATCCAGTACGTGTTACATACCCCCTCCAAATTTTAGTTCTCTAGTCCTAAAGTATTTAAATTATATTCAAGTTTATACAGTTCCACAATAATTTCCATCTTAATTGGGTTAAGCCATCGACCATTTCTAATCCCAGCTACTTATTGCAGCAGTCATGTATAGTTTAAGAATCACCAGTTAAAGTAGAAAGCTATGTGCCTGGAAAAATTATTTCCAAGTTTGATCACAGGAAAACTGGGAAGCTCACTGATAGCTGCAATAACACTGCAACTCCCTTTCTGACCTTATTACAAGGCCATACAGAAATATACCCCAAGCTAATCACAATAAACATGTTACTTCAATGTCATTAAAAATTACCATAAAAATACATTTTTGTAAATCTGAACTTCAGGAATTTTAACTAGTTTTCTCAAATCCACTTTTTACATTAATAGTCAAATCAGTTGAGATCAACAGACATCCATTAGGATCAGCCTTGAGGTTTCAGGATATGATCAAGCTTTCAAAGCAAATGTCAAAAAATCTTTAAAAACAGAAGTAGCACTACAGCTAGAAATGTGAATTTGAATCAGCTGGCTTGAAATTCAATCATGTTAATACTATAGTCCACTTACCTGAAAAGTGAGGTAATGAGTCAATTCTGTTAAGTGACACAACAAATACATCAGTGAATTGACAAATTCACAAAAGCATCTCAATTCTTTTTGAATAAGTTTCACTTAAAATGAGGGAACATGCAGCTCCATTTTATATATGCGCTCTATTTTAATAACATCGATAGATACTTTAACTCACAAACCTCCTACTAAATTTACTACTTCCAATGAAATTTATTGCTGAAGTGGCCTTATTAGTAGCAGAGTGAAGAATTTCAATTTGCAAAGAAGCTTTTTCACTCATGACCAACTAAAAATGTCAGCCACAAGAAATTTATTCCTGACATTAGCTGTGCTTTTGAAATAATGTCTAACATAGAAGATAGTTTATATATGGTCATTAAATAAAATTCTGGGAATTCCTGTGAAAACTGCCTGTAATTCTAAAACAGTATCAAATATTTAATAGCAAAAATGGAGGCCTAGGCATTTGAGGTTCTTCCTATGGGCTTGGGAAAGGATTTTAAAATGCGACATTAAGACCTATTTAGCAGGACCAGTTTCAAATTAAAGTTACCAAATATAGAAGGTTTTTTTTTTTTTTTTTTTTTTTTTTGGAGACAGGGTCTGGCTCTCATATTTTTTTAAGCTAACAAGACATTTAATATAAAGCTAAGAGAAGGTTTTGTCTCAGGGTGATAATCACCAAAGGGCTCAACCATAAAACCTTTGCAAGCTACACACAAAGAAACCACATTTACACTTCAAGTCCACAAAAACCTACCCTAGGACTGTGCCCGGGGCACACAACGATTTCAAACAGTACACACACACCTCAACAACCTGAGCATACACATGCTGTACAAAGCAGCCGAAAGGCAAATCCCAGTCACTTTTAGGAAATGTTTCAAAACGAAAAAACAAGTCTAAAGTCTCTAGGAGCCTTGGGTTGATTCCTAAAGCTAGACTGTTTTCTCCCAAAATACTCTGTTTCGGCAGGAATAAAGCATTTCCAAATAAACGCAACTACAGGGCCCCCATTTTCAACACAATTTGCTTTTCACTGAAAGTTGAAATCTCTCAAGGTCTAAACGCTTATTGTGATCACATTACAGTACAAATAGAAGAGTATCTTCTTTGTTGTTGACCCTGCTAGGAAAACAGGTCTTGACTCAGCCAAAGCGGCGTTCTCGTGGGTGATTAATGACAGGCCTAGATCTCGCCCCAGTGACATCCATCCCCACCCTCCAACCCCTCTATACTAAAATCAGCCATGTCTGAGCTGGAGGAGGGGCTGTCGTCTCGCCTCAAACCACCCAGTCCTAGAGTTAATAGCTGCAACTAATTGATTCAAGCCAAAAAATAAATCGAGATTCGGGTAAAACGCGACCAGTCTCTCGCCTAATTTATGACTGTTCCCCTCTGATCGTTTCCGATGGGCATCTGCTTACTATGGAAACAATTTCGATCTGTGCTAAGAAAAGGACCTTCCTCTTCCCTACAACACCGGCTCTACCCACCTCGGCTCCCCAAACCCCCTCCACGACACCAGCCAGTTTCTATTGTGCCTTCGTGCCCCGAAAAAATAAGGAAATGGAGTCCTACGACCACTTTGTTAAGCACGAAGGCCCCGGCCCGGCACCCCGGCTCCCACGGCCTCCTCCCCCGTCCCAGACCCCCGTCTGTCGCCGCCCCGAAGCCCAGGGCCGAGTCCCACCTGTGGTGAGGCGGGAGGAGACGTCGCCGAAGGGGGACGGCTCCATCCGGAGATACTTCTGCGGCGAGGCAGCCGCGGCCGAGGCGGCAGCGGTGGTTGCAGCCGCCGCCAAAGGAGAGGCGGCGGCCGAGGTGGGCGCCGACAATGGCGCACATCGCCGCCTCTTCGGGGACGCCGGGCTCAGCAGCGGGTCGAAATCCAGAGTCCTTTTCAGAGTAGCGCCGCAAGCCATGGCTGGGGGCAACAGAGGCACCCGGTTCGGGTGGGGCCGGGGAGGGCGAGGGAAGCCGCGAAGCGCCGAGACGCGAGGAGCGCCGAACCGACGGGCTGAGCGGCCGGGCGAGACCCCCGGCGCCGAGGTGGAGAGCGCAGAGCCGCCGCCGCCGCTGCCTCCGCGGCAGGGGCAGGGGCAGTGGCCGGGCCAGCCCGGGCGGGAGCGGGAGGGGCGGCGGCGGCGGCACGCACGCCGGCCGCGTCAGGGGGGCTCTTCCGCCGCCTCAAGCGCCGCGCCCCCGAGAGAGGCTCCGGCCACCTCAGCCGCCCGTGGAAGCTCGGCGCCGCGCCGGACGTCTCCGGGCTGAAACCAGCTCCCCTCGGAAGTGGGTACCAGCTCCGGGGTGTGTGAGGTCGGAACGCGGCTTCCAACACGCCCGATTATGGTTGGGAGCTTCCGAGCAGTAGCAGATGAAGAGGGACTGCCAGGTGGCTGCGCCAGAAGCAGAAGCTCAAACACGTCCAACCGCTTCCCCCTCCACTGTAGGACTCGTCCACCCGCCGCTGGCCTCAATATGGCGTCAATAACAACGCCGCCGATTCAAACCCTGCGGCCTCAGGGCGCCTGCGCGTAGGGGCGGGCCCACCGAGCATGCATTCTGGGAGTTGTGGTGTTTCCGGGTGGGTAGATAGGAGCGTGAAAAGCACTTTGGAAGGAGTCGCGGAAACTACGACTCCCTTCATGCAAGGTGCGCAATTCCGAGTTCCGGGTTGAAATTTAAATCCCCCATGCGCAGCTAAAGAGTACAAGGAACTGAGTGAAAGAGGAAAAAGAAAATGCACCGAAACAGTGGGAGACAGGAAAGCGAACCGATGGGCAGAGCTGGCTAAGCAACGTGAAGACCTGTAAGACTCAGAACCTGATTACAGTGATTTCACTGGGAAATAGGAAAGAGCCTACCTAACAGTCCAAGAGATTAATTTTGGTAACACCGAGTGCTAAAAACAAAACTAGTCAAAAAAAAAAAAAAAAATAGTACCATCGATGGGCTAGGAAATAATGAAAAGATTATGACAACTATTTGGGATGCGAGAGAACAACAGTAATAATATCAGATTACAGGATTCTGGGCTGAACTCTTGTGCTTCTTGCTTCCCAGGTAGCTGCTTGAAATACAGATTAAATTCTGCAAAGCCACCTTTGCTCCTGTAAATGAAAAGGATTTGAATTAAGTACAGAATCAAATTGTTTTGCTCTGGGTAAGCGAGTGATTCCAGAAATTGCATTATCAGTTGAATTTGATGTACTTCTTGTGAACAATAAGACGCAAAACAAATCAAAAGACGTAAGAAAGTGTAAGTAAACGTGGGACCCATTTAATAAGTGAAGGGGGAAAATGTTTCTAAAGATTGTATTCTTTTTCAGAACATAAAATAGGGATTAAATACAACAGTTAGAAAGTGACTTATGTACAAACTGTTGTCCTCTATGGATCCTGTCACCAATCCAAGTATAAGTATTTGAATATCATTATCAGCTGAATATCAGATACTGAGTTCCAATTCATTTATTCCCATTGTTTTATTTAATCATGTTTTGCAGCCATTTTGTCTACAATTCTTTATACCACCTTTGAACAGTAATCCAATATAGCTTTGTCTTTTAGGATTCTCTAACATCTCAAGGTCAGAAGTCTTGATCTCACTGTGTCAACAAGTTTGATGACACCTACTAAGTAAGACTTTTACTAAATTCTAGCCACTCAATAAAAATCTATGATACTGTGAAAGTAATACAATGATCAATTTTATGTAAGTGAATAGAAAAGAGTCTTGTTAAATATTTTCTGAAATTAAGATTTGACCTTATATTACAACATTTATATTAGAAAGTGGCTGTTATAAACTGAATTGCATTCCCTCAAAATGCAAATAGTTGAGTCCCTACTACCTCAGAATGTGACTTTTATTTGAAAATAGGTTACTCTTTAAGTAATGCTTTGAGAGCATACTAGAGTTGGGTGAGCCCTCTAATTCAACATGACTGGAATCCTTTTGAACAGAGAAAATGTGCATGAAGACACAAGGTAGAAACCTGAAGGTGGAGGTTAAAGTGATTCCTTCATAAACCAAAGAACATCAAAGATAGCCAGCAGTCCACTAGAAACTAGGAGAAGGACACTAAATAAATTAGTCCTTATAATCTTCAGAAGGAATCAACATTGAGATCACTCAGTTTTAAGAATTCTATTTTTTAGTTTGTGAGATAGTAATTTTCTATTGTTTTGTCTGTTTTGTGGTACTTTATGACAGCTGTAGAAAACTAACACAGGAGAGTTGTGATTATCTTTTGAGATACACTAGGCTGCCTGGACAACCAAGAAGTTGCATTATTGTGTACATGGGGTGCCTGATAAACTAAATAATTTAGTCATAATAGCTGCTTGTGTGGTCAGCATAGCACAGCATATCTGCATAGGGTTGGGGAGCTACTTCAGAAACTAAGACAAGAAGGGGAATGCTTGCTATTCATCTCTTTATGTTTGCTAAAGTCCTCTTGCTCCTCACTTGTTGGCTACTTGCTATTTAAGACTCAGGCTAGGCATTAACTCCTTTGTGAACCCTTTACTAATGCCCCAAGCTTAGTTCCTTTTACAGATTTAAGAGGAGGCACTCAGGAGCTGGGGATTTAGTTCAGTGGCATAAGCACCTGCCTGGCAATCATGAGGTTGTGGGTTTGATCCCTGGTGCCACACACACACACACACACACACACACATACACAAAACACTCATCTGCATATCTTCATCATTATTATCACCCCACTGCAAAATAATTCTTCATTCACACAACTGTTTTTCCCACCACTGTGTGAGCTCCTAAGCAATAATAGTTACCCTGTCCACCTCAGTAACATCCGTTCAGTATTTCTTGAAAACTTGCTGCCACCTTGTCCTTTCACTTAATCTACTTTATCATTTAAGATAGACATCTGTTAAAATACTTGGCAGTCATTTTAAGGTGGAAAGAAGCTTTTAGAAAAAAACTATCCACAAAAATATTTCTTAGACTAAAACTGAAAATTAAAAACATTAAACCATAAGTTTTGGCAGTTTGGAAATTTTTATATTATAGGTCAAAGGGAAAACTATTTAACACATTAATACATTGACTCAAGTCACATGAATCTACATATAATACAGCAAATTGTTCCTGTGACCTACATACACCAGAACTGCTCGTTAGGCTTGAAATATTTAGAATAATTTTACTGCAGTCCAGGAACTATTTTCTGATTTGTGCAATCTCAGAAGTCTCTGAAGAACTCAGAAGTCTCTGAAACTTTCAGTGAGATGCTAGTATTTGATTGGTATTAAACTTTTGTAACACAGCTCAAAAAATATTCCCCAGGAATCTGATTCTGATGAGTCATTCTTTGACTAAAGCCAGTAAAAGCAAACAAAACTGGATAGAACAAAACTTCATCATCCTGAGTCTGAAGATCCACTTTAAGTAATTTTCAAGCAAGTCTTCTGATGTTAAATAAAAGTGAATGCAAATACTTAAGGTATGGAGAGGTGTTTGCTGACTTTTTAGCATTAGAAACATCAGTTCTAATTCAGGAGCCACTTCAAATTGATATTCAGAATGAGGATTGCCGAGGGAAGAAAAATTGTTTAATTATTGTGTAAATGATTGCAGTTAGAAAAGAACAGCTATGTAATTCTTTATGTGTATGAATTTGCAAGATTGCTGAAACCTCTAAAACATTTGCAATACACAGTATTTTGTTTTTAATGTTATGACGCTGGCTAGTTTTCATTGTCATCATTTTGAATGTAGACATTTTTAGTTGATTGGATAGAGCATAATCAGAATTGTTTCTTGAGTTACAATAGGACTGTGTCCCAATAAATTCTTCATAAATTGGAGACATTATTAAGTTGAAAATGTACTTCATATACCTTACCTAGCGATACAATGAACAACACAATATATTGTAGAATGCCAGTGCTTCCCTCATAATAGCATGGCTGACTGGGTAACACCAAGTATCACTGGCCAGGGAAGAAATCAAAATACAAAGTACATTTTCTGCTGAATGCATATCACCTTCCTACCAGTGTAAAGTCAAAGATGCCTAAGTTGAATCATCATGTCAAAGACCATGTGATCCTTCCAGTGATTTCAAAAGATCACCAAGTACAGTCCCCTATCTCAAAAAAAAGATAATCTGTAAATAAGCAGGATCAGTATCTGACCTGACTGTTCCTTAAGATTTTCAAGAACAACATCTAAAATCCTGTGCAAACGTGAAAATATAACTGCAAATCCTATTTCATTTCAGTCACTTCTTCATCAGAAGTAGTACCCTATAAAGAGCAATACACTCCAAAAAATAAGTGCAACTCAGAGATTTTAAAAGAAGCCACATGATAGATTTGAGTAGCCAAAATAAGATTTTATGGCATCCTCATTTTAAAATTTGCATACCTAAAGACACACCCTCAAGTACTCTTGTTCTTTTCTGTAAATTTTACCCTTTACAGAAAAACCTTAGTGCTTGCGGATCATAGAGCAATTAGAAGAATCAAATAGGAATTAGGAATTGAATACAACACAATCTTTGAACAGAGAGAAAGAAATTGTAAAACAGAACTAGAGAATTTAAGAACAGCCTTGAGATACTGTCCCATCAGAACAATGAATTCTACCTTAGCACCACTGCAGTTGATGCATGGCAGAGTTGGGGGCTGGGGATTTAGCTCAGCGGTATAAGCACCTGCCTTGCAAACAGGCGGTTGTGAGTTTGATCCCCGGTACCGCTTAAAAAAAAAAAAAAAGATAATGGCAGAGTTGCCAGAAGTAAAAGAAAAAAAGTGAGACACCCATTTAAATTTTAACTTCAGATAAGGAATAATTTGTTAGAATTATTTTGTTAATCTTGCACATATTTAGCTAACATCCCAATTTTACTGAGTATCGTGTATTATATCTGATGGCCCTTGCAAGATGGTGACCCAAGTTATCAAAAAAAGCATAACTAAGTTTAGTATGCAATTCAAAATTGTATGAAATAAGGTATTAGAAAGTTTTCTATTAATAGTTTTTAGGACTAAGAGTTGAGTTTCAGTTTTTTAGAAAGTGACATGAAATATTTTGACCTATGTATGTTCTAGTCAAAGCAGAGTGGCAGGCATAAAATATACTGTAAACTTTTGATGAATTTGGAAAAATAACATGCCATTGGTATGCAACTAAAGCACCTGAAGTCTGTCCCTGCCTCCACTCATTTAGTTTTAGAATGCCTTCTTACCTTCTGCTACAGGCCCCTTCTCCATTGGCTTGCTTATATCCACACCTGGGTCAGAGTTGGTGTCACTGTCTGTGTCGGGCTCCCGTTCCCTCTTGGGCCTTTGTTGTGCTTCCATGATTCTACCTTGAACCTTCTCTGATACAGCTTTTCAAGAAAATGAGATGATCCCCATACTTCCCAATGTTTTAGGCTGGTTCTCCGAGCCTGTTGTTATAAGGGTCAGCCAGGTGTGTGGTGTGAAGGAAATGAAAGAGGCCCACGCTTTCCAGTCCCACCCACAGATAACAAGCATAACCCTGGAACCAGTCATTGCTTGCTTATAGTTCCATCAGCCTGTGTTAAGGCTAAGGCTTCACAGAGTGCCCAACAAACTGTGTCCTACTACTACTGGCAAGGCTAGTCCAAAAAGTTGTGCTCACTTGGACTTAAAGGGAATTCTGCAGTCTTAGTTGGATTTGCCTTTCAGCAGTGGGTCAGTAGGAAAAAAAAATGGTTCTCCCCCCCATTTTTTTTTTTTTTTGTCTTTTTCATTTTTATTGGTACCAGGGATCGAACTCACGACCACACACTTGCAAGGCAGGCGCTTATGCCGCTGAGCTAAACCCCCAGCCCCTTGAGCTAAACCCCCAGCCCTGGTTATCCCCTTTTAAAGTTTACTTTCTACCATAAATGTTTGTCTGAAGATTCTTTTTCAGAAGTCTCACTTACGATAATAATTTAGAAAACGAAAAATATATAAAATTTTCTTGGAGAAAAAGATATCCCAATTGCCATCATACTGAAAACTAGTATATCTCACAATGGGTGGCTAGTACATAGTAAATCTTTAGTAAGTGCTGGTCATGCAGTGGCAAACTCCAAAATCATCCCAATCCTGAGGCAGAAAGAATCTCAAGAGTATCTTCTTATCCAATAGACTGCTCAGAGGCCACTTATGACTCCTGGGCTACAGATTCAATAAGCTGTCCCCCTCCACACACCACTCAAGGTCTATACACTGAAATAAACTGTTGTTAATGACCTCTACTCTGTATTCCCTACTCTTGAGTAATGAAGTTAACTCTCTCACTGTATTTCTGGGTGGTGCCTCATTATATTCTATTGTGCATCGAAACCTACTTCCCAGAGATGTCTTTCCCAAAAGAAATGGAAGTTTGGATCAGAAGGCTTACTTCCTGTGGTCAGCCAGCACAAGCAGCAAGACCCAGCCAGATATGCCTCTGCTTATTGGCCACCACCATTAGAAGGCTTGCTTCCTGCAGGGAAGCCAGTGTGGGCAGGGAGATGCAGCCAGATAAGCCCTGTGCACCCACAGGCCACCATTGGAAACCCTTGCTTCATTCAGGCAGCCAGTGCCCACTGAGAGAATCAGGCAAACCCACCCCTGCATGCCTGCTACCATCAGGGGAGTCCTGGTGTACACATGCACACGAAAGCTGAGAGAAGAAGCTGCCCCACCACCATGCACACCTGGCTATCAGGGAAGCCACAGTGTAGCTGCACAGGTCTGGAGGAACCTGCCCCACACCCTGCTAGGTTGGAACCTGGGGTCAGAGAAACCCAGGTGTCTGTCCCATTCTTGTACACCGCAGAGGAGCAGCCAATGTGGGAAGTATCTGGGACTCCACAACTGGCTTGTTGGGGGGAACCAAGGAGAATGTCAAGACAAAGGAGCAAAAGGCAATCTCAGATCTCCAGCCCACACAAAACAAGTGTAGGAGATATAGTCATGGAAGAAAATGGAAGTGACATACCTGAAATCTCTGAGAGGATAGCAACTGAAGTAAAGAAGCAACTTCATGAGACTGTGAAAGTAATCAGATCAGAAATAATGTCTCAGGTGAAGAAATTACAAAGAATTGCTCAGTATATCTAAAGAAGACAGATAAAAAAGAGGAGCATAGGAAAATGATAGAAACCTTTAATGAACAATATAGGAAAGATTTACAATGCATGAGACAGATTCAAAGAGATATCCAAGAAATCAAAAGCCTATCACAAGCTGGCAAAATCATTTGAAAGACAGTGAAGATAGACTTTCAGACCTTAAAGACAGGATCCTAGCTAGAAATCGTAAAAGGAATGCTCGGTTAAAAATAACAAGGAACCAGGAAATAATTTAACAGCTGCACTATCATGCAAAGAAAAGTAATTTAAGAGTAGTAGGTATCAGCAAAGAAGCAGGGGTCAACACAAATGAAATAGAAAGGCTATTTATAGACGTAAAAGCAGAAAACTTCCCAAACATGGGAAATGGATCTGGCCTACAGAGAAGCGAGGTGTACCAAACTCCAACTAGCCATAACCAAAGTAACTCTACACCCAGACATAATAATCAAGGACCCAGAAACTCAGCACAAGTGCAGAATATTAAAAGCTGTTAGAGAAAAGAAACAGATCACTTATAAAGGAAAAACAATCAGAATCACGACAGACTTCTCAACACAAACCATCAAGTCAAAAGGAATTTGAAGTGTTTAAAATACTGAAAGAAAATGACTTCTAATCCAGATTGATGGATAAATAAGCTACCTCCTTGATAAAGAACAACTGAAGGATTTCATGACCACCAAACCAACCCTACAGAGTGTGCTGAAGGATATTCTAGAGAGAGAGAAAGGTGACCACGGTTCCAGGAACAGCAACAGAGAACTGCCAAGCAGGACAGGCAGTTGAATGAAGGAGAAAAGTGGAGGACCAACAGCAGGAAGATAGCACAGCAGAGATGAACCAATGTATGCCAGTTGTAACCATTAATATAGATGGCCTCAATTTACCAATAAAAAACATGAAGAGAGGATCAAGAAACAAGATCCATCAATATACTGTGTACAAGAAACACATTTAACTCAAAAGGAAATTCATAGACTGAAAATCAAGGAGAGAAAATAATTGTTTCATGCGATAGGAAACCAAAAAAAAAAAAGGATAACTTGCCTATCAATTGCAGAATGGATAAGAAAGATACAGCATTTTCATACAATAGAAAGCTACCCAGCTAGAAAGTAAGATAATATCAAGGCTTTTGTTGGCAAATGGATACAACTGGAAATCATATTGGGGCGAAATGGCTCAAACTTAACATGGGTGAACCTTAGCTTAAAAAACAAGTAGTTAGTGGATTCCAAAAACACAATAGTTACTATAAAAATGATAGAGGAGGGGCTGAGGATTTAGCTGAGTGGCATAAACACCTGCCTTGCAAGCAGGCAGTCGTGAGTTCGATCCCTGGTACTGATAAAAATGAGAAAGACAAAAAAAAAAAAAAAAAAAAAGAGGAGAAAACACCTAACAGGGAAAAGTAGTAACCACTGTAATTTCTTGTTGTCTTGAACTCTTGTGTCATTTTCAAAATCTCGTTAGGTTTGGTTTTGTTCTGTCTTGTTTTGTTAGGTTTTCCTGTGTCTGATGGTATGGGCAGCTATTTTGAAGATAACAACATATATTATGGTAACCATTGTTAGTTTCCTATTCTCTTGTTTTGAAGTTCTATAATACTTTCATTCTTTTGTTCAATTGGTTTTATTCTGTTTTGTTTTGGTCAATCTTATTATATGTGATGGTATGAACAGCTATTTTGAAGAAAATGAGACATTATAGTTTAGACATTATTTATTTCCTGTTATCTTGTTTTGAAGCCCTGTAACACTTTCATTCTTTCATTTTGATTGGTTTTATTCTGTTTTGTATTATTTGGTTTCATTATGTGTGAAGATATAGACAGCTATTTTGAAGAAAACAGAAGACATTCTGGTAGCCACTGTTCATTTCCTAGTGTCTTGTTTTGAAGTCATGTGTTGTTTGCGTTATTCTGTTCTGATTTGCTTTGTTGTGTTTTGTCCTATTTTCTGTTTTATTCTCTTTAAAATTAAGAGAAAAGAAATGGGATATTAGATTAAGCTGTCAACTGATACTCTTAACTATTTTCCAGATGTCATTCCAATTTGGGTTCATTTTTTATTGGTTTAATCATTCACAATTGCCAATCCAAAAGTCACAACACTTTTGAAACAAGGATCATGGTGATGTACTGAAAAGAGAATCAACTCACTAAACCTGAGTGTTCCCCAACAAAGGGTGCGGGGGTAATCAATGTCAAGTTTATAGCCTGATTGTTAATCCCAAACACTCACTCTGAGCTGTTAGCTTCCAAGAGATGATAATAGAAATCAGCTTAATTTAACTGGTCTGTGGGCAGCTTGTTTTGGAATATAAAAAGTGACTTGAAAAGTGAGGTCGAGGGCATACAAAAACCATTTTAAATTTTGGGAGTGGACTTCTTGTTTAAAGCATTACTCACTGAGAGTCTACTAGTCAAAGACACTGTCAACAGGGATCTACAAAATAAAAAAGACTTATTTTGCCTCCAAGGAAGCTTATAGTATGGTGAAGTATATACATACACAAGTAATTCTACAGAGAGCATAAAAGAGCTTGCTCAGAGAACAGCTAGTTTCCAAATCAGTTAAGTAAAATTATAAGGTATGCCTCTGTTAATTCCACTTAAGTGAGTGAAAACTTAGGTTAACAATATTGGGGAGGAAAAAAAGTTGTTTCTAGAGATACCACCATGACCCTGATAGGTTTTCAGTTTATCCTAACAAAAATTCTAAAAGGTAGGGGCTGGGGATTTAGCTCAGCGGCATAAGCGCCTGCCTTGCAAGCAGGCAGTCGTGAGTTCGATCCCTGGTACCGATAAAAAGGAAAAAGACCAAAAAAAAAAAAAAAAAAAAAAAAATTCTAAAAGGTAGTACCACTAATCCAATTGTACTGCTAAACTTGTGACCTATGGCCAAATCTGTCTAAAATAGGTCAGAGTACAGACCAACCTGAGTTTATAAGATTTCAGAGATGTGTCCCACACTGCTGACTTGGCAGCAAAGAAATAGGAAGGGACAAAGACCAGTTAATTTACATTTTACAAACATTAATATGGAAGTACTAGCTAGTGGTAAAAAAATATATATATAAATAAAAATATACAAATATTTATATATAATGTATATTTTATTGGTCTTCGGGCCTTGCTTATGCTATATAAACTTTCAACCACTGAGCTATATCCACATCCCCTAAAACTAATATATGTCTTTAAGGGAAATCTCAACATATGTTCCAGAAGATACAAAAGAATATCACCTATTAAACCAGGGAAGGGCACACATTCCCATAATGCTATAACCATAGTATGCTGAGACAGGAGGATGCAAGTTTGAGCCCAACCTGGGCAGTTTTGCAATTTAGCAAGACCTTGTCTCAAAATTTTCAAAAGTGGGAAGAGGTGGAGGCTAACGCTAAGTGCAGAGGCTTTGGGTTCAGTCTGCAGTAGCCCCTCCCCAAAGAATCACCTATGACTGCAGGACTCTGTTTTATTTCTCCATAAAACCTAGTACTTGAGCACAAAGCTCCACAGGGTGATTTTGTGGTGCCATGCTTATGCTCCAAGCTCTTGTGAGTTCCTAGGGAGTACTGTGTTCTAGAAGGACATATGACTTGTGTGACTTTCCTTTTTCTGAGTAGTCTTTCATTGAGTCTCCCAAAAGCTAGCACTTTTATCTACAGATTACTAAACATAATTCCTAAACCATATTAACCACATCTTTTACTTTACATGCTAACAAGCAGCTGAATAGAAATTCAAGTTCTTTTCATTCTCTCCTTGCTATTCAGTGTGGTCCGTGGACCAGAAAAACTAGCATCACTTGGAGCTACTAAACCCAGACCTACGCTGTCGCTGTGCTGTCCCCCTCATGAGTCTAACATGAAATTTAAGAGCTCTGCTCTAGTTAGTTCACTTCACTGACTTTTCTGGACGGATGTGCTAATGATACTCCGGCTTGGTGGTTCTAGGTTTGGTACCATGCCCTCCTTGTGAGGTGAGGCCTCGGTGATAGATAGTAAGGTAACTAAGACGAAGCCCTGTGATAAAAAGGAAGTAGAATAAAAGACAGATGGGAATCTAGACAATTTGAAAACATTCCCCTGGACCAATGATACTTTCTGTATGTAAATACCCTGCCCTGCAAAAGAATAGAGTTTAGATTGGGCTTGGTGGCACGTGTCTACATCCCAGCCCTGTGGGAGGTGAGGGGGAGGTTCACAAATTCATGTCCAGCCTGGGCAACTTAGCAAGGCCCTAACTCCAAATTTTTAAAAACTGGAAAAAAAGCTGGCAGTGTAGCTCAGTACAAATCAGTATGAAGGCTCATAGGTTCAATCTCTAGTACTACTTAAAAAAAAAAAAGACAAAATGGAGTTCATTATAGCTTTCAATGGAGATAACACAGCGCAACATGGTGGTGGTTCCTCAAGAAGCATAACTTAGTAAAGTAGTAATAAAAAAAGAACATTTGCACATATCTCCCATACTCGCATACTTCTAAGTAGTTCCTTCATTCCTTAATAACTAACTATCCCTTTGCTGCTCTCAAAGATGTATGAGCACCTATGACTGTTTACCCTGAGTGTTTGCTATGCCCGTGTCCCATGTCTCAGAGTACCTTTGTGCTCCGTTCTCCAGTTACAGATAAACACTACCTTAGGCCAGGCCTCAGGGAGCTCAAGGTAAATGCAAACAACTTCTAGACAAGCCTATAAGTGCAAATAGGAAGCTGTGGCTCCAAATGGAGGGGAAAGGACTAATTCTTTCCAAATTCTCTTTCCTTTGTAAACATTGTAACCTTGCCTTCATGGCAAAAATATCCATTTCAAGAATGTTTTCAGCACCTAAAATGGAAGTATTGGAGATAGCTACTTTCTTCACAAATGGAAATAGCTCTGATAAAAACTGAAGCATCATTTGCTATGCAACAATATTTCTTCTATAATTGTGATTCAGCATTCCAACACAGTGCTATATTCAGTGGTACTCAAAGCATGGTTTGTGTATTTGTTCCCAGCCACAGATAAGCACACAAGATAACTCAATGGTGGTTTAGATACCTTTTTAGCAATTTGACATGATCACAAAATGTAAACACATCACCAGGGAACTAATGTCATTGGATAGGCAGATTTCAGGTGTTGAACTAAATTTGATGAATTATATGTGGCATGAACTTCATAATAACAGTAGTAGAGTATTTTTAAGGTTAATTTTATATACTGTGACCCTAAAGCCTATAAGATCCAGAATTCATCTGAGTTATTTTTTTTAAACTAAAAATAATTTAAATTTAACTATAAAAGATCAATTCTGGAACTAGCTACTGAGGAAGAATTTAAAAATGATTGTTGAATATATAACATCATGTACTTCATTTTGGGTAAATTTGAAAATGAATATTTGAGCCAGGCACAGTGGCACATGCCTGTAATCCCAGAACTTTTAAAGGCGGAGTCAGGAGAAGGATAAATTCAAGTATTGCTATGGCAACTTAGTGAGATCCTATTGTTAAAATTTAAAAAATTTAAAAGAGATGGTGGTATAGCTCAGTATAAAGACCCTAGCGTCAATTATATAATGTAATTTTAGTTTTAAAAAGAAAAATAGGAGAAGATAAACAACTGAAGCTTTACGAAAGCTGCTTTAAATTCTTATTTCCTTTCTCATCCACCTAACTCAATGAGACAGGTTTCTTTGCTCTGGCTATTTTTTTTTTATTTTATCTTTATTGAGACAGGGTCTCGCTATGCAGTTCAGGCTGGCCTTGAGCTCACTTTGTAGCCCAGGCTGGTCTCAAACTCTCGATGATCCTCCCGCCTCAGCCTCCCAAGTGCTGGGATTATAGGCGTGAGCCACCATGCCCGGCTGCTCTGGCTATTATTAAACTTAGAAACTGTGTAGATAAACATAATCAATCCCCTGTTACTCATCTATCCAATCTAGATAAGATAAGAAGCAAAAGCAAGCTCAGTCATCATATGAAAAACCTTATTTACATAAAAGGTATTTGTTTCAAGTACGTATATTAGCATTTAATATGGACAACTGCTATTTTCTTTCTTTTTGTTTCATCATAAATGTGGAGCAACAAAAAGTAAAGAAGCGATATTCCATTAATTGCCTGTGCTCAATTGTTTTTTGTTTGTTTGTTTTTTGAGTACTGGGGATCGAAGTCAGGACCTTTTACTTGCCAGGCAGGCATTGTGCCACTGAGCTATATCTCTGATATACATTTTTATTTCTTACTTTATTCTATGGTTTTTCTCTCATTGGACTTATTGAAAGATATGTTTACTGAGTCTTATAATATGAAAATGTGGGCTTGCATTTTGTATTTTTTTTACCTAAGAAATTCATTTTTGTTCTGTTTACAAAGGTCAGCATGAATTGAGGGGTCTTATCTGAGGTGTTTCTTCACCCCAGAAAGTTTAAGAAAATGCTATAGAAACTTATATGTTAATGATTATTGCCATCAAACCCAAAATTATTAAAATGGAAGAACATTACTAATAAACTAATATATAATAGAGTTGAGTAACTCGGCATGGTGGCACATGCTTGCAATCCCAGCACTCAGGAGACTGAGGCAGGAGGACTGCTGTTGACTCAAGGCTATGAATTAGCTTGATTCAATCAAATAAATATATGTGTTGCTTTTAAATGAATTAATATTTTAAAAATCCATTTTAATCTCTAATATATATATATATGTATATATATATATATATATATCACCAAAAAATGTGTATAACTCCAGCAATTCAGGACCCTGACAAATGGATAAATGTCTAGAAGTTAATGGCTACTACATAGTGAATTCAAGGCCAACTACATAGTGAGACCCTATCTCAAAAAACAAAAAAACTGAAATAAAGTGGGTAAGCTAATACAAGTGGAATGTTACCAAGGGTTAGACACTATTCTGACTACTTTCTGTATATTATGTTATTTACTCTGAATTTATGAATTAGCAATTTTTGTATCACCATATTACCAGTGAGGGACTTGAAGTACCAAAAGGTTACATCTCTTGCCCAAGGTCTCATAGCTCTAAAGTGGCAAAGCCCAGGTCTAGAGTCCATGCTTTTATCCACCAGGAACATAAAACACACATTGTAGTCATAATTCTCTAAGTGATTATGGGATTAAGTGAGTCATTTTAACCACTGTGGGAAAAGAAAGGAAAAATTAGAAAAGCCCCTTCTATAAGAGCTACACTGCAGCAGCCTTGCAGTGTACCAGGCATTGAACTAAGTTGTTCGTGTAAGATCTGAGTGTCTCCAAAGCGTGGGGCAACGCAGGAAATGGTTTCAGGTAGTAGGGAAGATGATTCAGTGCTGCATGGACCAGCAAAAATCAGATTGCATAACAGAGTGAGAAAGCTATTCCTTCTTCCCATTTCTGACTTCCGCTGATTACATCTAATAGACGAGTCCCCCTTTGGTGCTAGTCTAGAATGCTTTCCTAACATCTATTTTCTTTCACAACAGAGTCTTTCTCATTTTTATTGCATCCTTAATTTAGGACAAGTAGTTTTTCGTTTATGTTAGGGATATAGAATTCCTTTTTTGTAATTTTTTTGCTGAGATCAGGATTGAACTCAGGGCCTTTGCCCATCCTTGGAAGGTGCTCTACCACTAAGCTATATCCCCCAGGAATATAAAATTTCTTTTGGAAACATTTATTTAGGTTTTTAAAATGGGTTATAAGAAAATACTAAGGGGAAAAATAGAATGAGTCTCACATGAACAGAGGAAAGTTATGATAATGACGTTTAGAAGATACTTCATTATCTTCCAACAAGTCAGTAATTACTATTCTCTGTCTGAAGGTAGGATATCTAATTCAGTAACCTTCCCAAGGCCATTCTGTAGGAAGTAAGGAGTGGGATTCAAACCTGGAAGTGTCTGTCTCCAAAGTCAGTGTCCTTAAGCACTGGATGTACTGTTTTCCTTATATGGTAACCATGTATATTTCCTCCCAGGATAAGCCCTCTGATCTCTGTATGTACTTCATGTTCTAAAACAGCAGTTCTCACAGGTGTGGTGGCATATGCCTATAATCCCAGCACTCAGGAAGCTGAGGCAGGAGGATCTCTGTGAATTCAAAGTCAGCCCGGCTACAAAGGGAATTCAAGGCCAGCCTGAATTGTACAGTGAGACCCTGTCTGAAAGAATTTTTAAAAATTTGTTTAAACAAACAAACAAACAAAAAACAATAGTTCTCAGAATCTGATTCAGGAATACTTCAGGTAAAAGCAGTTCCATTAGATACTGAGCTGTGTTGTCTCTTGCACTCCTGATTGCTCCCAAATGTACAGTATTTTTTAGAGGATATATGACAGGTGATGTCACAATACAGAATGTGAGAATTTAGCTGCCTTATGTGAGACAGTAAAAAGATTTTTATAGGAACATAAACAATTACATTTTTTTCACTGAATCTTTTTTGTTTTGGAAAATAAAGCTTTTTAAAATAAAAAATATGTGATTTTTATTAACATAAGTTTATTGTTGCTTTTAAATGAATTAATAAATATTTTTAAAATCCATTTTAATCTCTAAAGTAGAATACATAAATATATAAATAAACAAATTCCTTGGAGTCACCAAGAGTATAAAGGGGTCTTGGATACAAAGGTATGGTTAGGGAAAATAAATAATAAGTACTTAAGATGATAAGTATATGAATTAGTTTGATTTAGTGATTCCACAGTGTGTGTGTGTGTGTGTGTGTGTGTGTGTGTATAGCCAAAGAATGTGTGTTTGCACTTCAGCAGTTCAGTGACCTGATGGATAAATGTTTGGGAGCTAATGGCCACCACTTTGAGCACTTCTTTAATTGTAGAGGCCAGAGGTAACTTCAGTTAATCTCATGATATCTTAATAAATTTAATATCAAAATATTTATGTAAGTGTTTCTTTTCCTGATGTATATGTTTTTTGGTTCTCTCTCTTTCTCTCTATCTGTACCTATATCTCTATATATCATATCACTATGAATCTAACAGTTGTAATTTTTCAAAAATAATAAAAGCTACTTTCTGCTTTAAGAAAAGGGAAAAAAGAATAGAAAGAGATCTCAAGATAGAAAATACGTGATAGGGATATTTTTAACAGTAACCTTTTTCTTCACATGCTTCTACCCTTAGTCTCTTACCCTGTCCCTTCTGTTCAGGCCCATAATCCTTAACTTTACTGCTGCAGAGGAGGGCATTTCCAACAGGAAAGCAGAAAATGATATCCAGGCTTTGTATTTCCAAAAAGCCTAAACCTATCAAGGAAATTACACTCATTGCTTTGAAGCAGTAACAATGAAATGGAGCAAGTACCACTGAGAGGGGAAAATGACATTATTGAGAGAGAGCAGCTAAATAGATAAATATTTCTGACTTCAAAGGGTGGATACAGGGAAGAACAAAGATGAGAGGGAGCTTCGAGAATCACAAAAAAGAGAGCCAGGCTGAAGGGAGCAGAAAGACAGAGACCAGACACACTGCTCAGTCTCAGCAGGGCATTGCCAGTGTCCAGGAGCCACGTGAGAGCTGGGACTGTCACTGCCTGAATCTGGAATCTCTGAGAATCACCCCACCCCTGCCAGTCCCATGAGTGACACCATCTGACTCATCCAGCTGAACAACTGTCCCTTCAAAACATCACCAACCCACCTGAAGCTATGAGGAGACTGGGGCCCTGGACATCTAGAGGGATGATGGGGCGTCCCAACTGCAAATGCTCTGGATTTCAGGGAAGAGTCCGAATAAAATCAACTGCAGGGCCACCCTGATGTGGGCAAGCAGTTAACATGCCGTTCCTCAACTATTAGGAGCTAGAGATACACCTGCTGGGTCAACAAGGGACAGTGTTACAATCTGCCAAAAGTTGCAATTGATGGTATTGAGGTGCAGTCCAGCCCATAAGGGAGTTTCCTTGGTCCAGTGGCATAGTTTTGGTTTGGTAGTTCATTTTCATCAGAATGCATTTGGGATGGAAAAGTGCTGTTCAAAAACCATGCTTTCTCCCTTGCAGCCACTTCGCCCTTAAAGATTCCTTGCCTAGCCCCCAAGTACTACTGGGTTTTCTCGTCCTCTTATACAAAAGACTTGATCTACAATAGACACTCCTCAGGGTGAAACCTAGCAAGTGGAAAATCATGAATACATGCATTTTTGTGACAATCCATTCTTGGCTTTCAACTACCCAGAGGAATCTATGACATTTGGATTGGAATCTGGGCTACTCTTTACTAGCTACGTGACCTCGAGCATGTCGCTTAGCATATCCTGCTTCCATTTCCTCCTCAGTGAAGTGAGGGTGTTCATGATGTTTAAGAACTGACCCAAGGATCAGAGGAGTGCTTGCTGTCATTATCAAGGAGGTAGACCACAAAGAAGTGGGAAACCTGTGTCTCAGGAGCAACCCTCATGTTGAGAGGTAAATGAGGGCAGCTTTGGTGACCACGGCCTATCTTCAGGATGCAGCCTGTGTAGCCCTCAGAATTCACTTACTCAGCAAATGGTCCCACATGGAGGTCATGTGGGAAAGTACAGGGAGGCCACTTTGCACATGGCCAAAAAAGTTATCAGCTGCTAGAAAGTAAGTGTCTTGTTTTGAGAAAGATCAGGGTCTGAAGGTAGCACTAGAAAGAACCATAAGCTATGATCTTGGGACACAATTTTGCCCCAGAAACCAATGCCTCTTTAGTTTTGATGTCTAGTAGCCAGGCTGGCCCACTGAAAAAGCAGAAGTGTCACAGTCAGCAGAAACTGGAATCCTACTCCATCACTGTTTAGCCGAGTGTTCTTGGGCAACTTACTAAACCTCCCTAAATCATGATTTCCTCTTTTGCCAAACTGAGCAATAACCTACTTTGGTTCAGTAGTTCATTTTATGCAAAACACTTACCAAGTACCCAATAAACACTCTATAAAGGGAGACATTACTGTGGTCACATGCCTTTACTAAACTGGGACTTGAGGGACCTGAGTAGAAGAGGGGTCCCAGTGTCTGATTGCTCGAGGAATCCTAGAATAACCAACAACTATTAGAGTGAAGACCCCAGCCTCATTGTATATTTTCTTGCTCAAGCTCAAGTTTGCAGAATTTTTAGGACTTCTTTGTGCTTAGGAACCAGGCAAGAAGAAAATTAAGATCAGAATATTCTTTCAAAACTATCTTCTCCCTCCCCAGTATTCCACGGAGTATAATCTGTGATATTGCTTATTATAATGGAAATCCACACTTGATCTTGACCAAAAGGCTGAGAAGCAATTGTAATAGAAATCTAATCAAACCAATTTAAGTACACAGTTTTCTCAGAGGCCAGGGTCTCATCTTTTCTGCTTCCAAAGTATGTCTGCTGCTTTTCTTTACCTACTTTCTCTTCTTTATGATGCACATGGGCACAATGGCTGATCAGACCATTTTGCTTGATTGTTTCTGTTTGTTTTTAATTTCCTGGTTTACATACAGCAGATCAGAGGTTCCCTGTTTGACTGCCCCAGCTCCTGCCACCTACCTGACCCTAAAAGCCCCAACCACAGGTGTGCATATATTGGGAACGGTGGAATGGTAGAGACTCATAATGTATACAAATACATCTGTATATAATTGCGTTATGTGTATGTGAATATATGTCTAGAATAAAATACAAAACTAATGACTGTTACCTGTGGAAATTAAATTTTGGATGTGAGCAAAAGTACAGATTTTATATATGAAAGGGAATTATTTGATATTTTAAAATTAAAGAGACAAATAAAAATCCAGTATTTTAACAATGACACACAGCCAGAATGGGTGGCAGAAAAGGTTGTCTGTCCTCTCCATGGCCGAGGGTTATTAGGAGGAACTCTCTAAGGTGGACAGGAGAAAAGCCTACCTCTCCCAGCACCAGAGCATCCTGGGGCTATCCCATTTGGAGAATTTGGCCCACCTGCAAGCTGAAGAATCTCTCCCTCAATGCCCACACACAACATATATTAATCAAAGAACTTGAACTTTTCAGTTCAACCTCCCCCCAATAGAACCCCATATATTTGTATTTATGTATGAAAACGTCACTCGTCAGTGATGAGAGCTGAAATGTTTAGCAAAGTAAAAGGATGACTCTGGAAAAACTTGAAAGCTAACCTGAGGAAACAGAAGTAACCCTGGATGTTCTAGGAACACAATTACTATTAACCGTGGGCTTATGTGGCTGCTCAGGGCTGTTCATAAAGGAACTTGAATGGGTTGGGAAATTAAAATTCTCCCTGAAATCACTATCATTTTTAAATTTTCCCCTTTGATTCTTCCTTTCTTGATACGAATATGTTCATTGTTTTATACCACAATGGACATTAATGGAGAAAATATTAATCTAGCTGTGTGGGCACCTTCATGGGAGTGCCTCAGTTTGCTATACTATAGGATAACAGTGTTAATTTGCCATCCACAGAAGGCAGTTTCAATGAACATGGCCCTTTGTTTTCATTTGCAGCGAGCAGTTCAATAATAATGATTTTAGAACACTGTTCACTATCAGAACGAGAACTGAGTGAATAGTCCATTATAACTGAAGCATTCTCTTTTATCACATTATTTTTTCAAGCCTTTAAAACATGGACAAGTAAACTATTTCTGTGCAAACTCTTTTCCTCTTCCTTTAGAATTTCCCCCTAAGCAAGAAATATTTGCTAAATCCCTACTTGGGGATTTCAGCATTACTAGCATATAACAGCTTTCAAAATCATTTAAGGTAATAGTAAGGGTGGGGATAATATTACAGGGACTTACTGCAAAGATAGTTTAAATGGTTTCTCATATAAGACCTGCCAAATTGTTAATATTAGTGAATCATTCCTTTCATTATGATATTATTAAGATGAAAACAGTGCTTATAGATCGTGAGAGTTTGTTCACCTCTGTCTGGTTACATATGAGGAAATGGATCTTTGAAAAATTAGAAATGTTGTCTATAGTTTCATACTAAAACAAAGAATTATTTTCATTCTAAACTCTGTACTCTTTAAAAATCGATTTGACAACCCTCTTTCAGGCTGTATCTCCAGAGATGCCAAATTTTCTCCTCCCAACCCACATTCTCCTTTGGAGTTGCTTTCTCCCAGCCATAAGAGAGCTAGTACCTCGTACCATGTGACTGTGTCCCCCCAGTCTTACCGTGACCTAAAGGTAGACATCTGACCTAAGCTGGGTTGATCAAATGGTCTCCCAGGAATTTGTAATAGGGACAAAGAGGCTGAATCATTAAGCAGGGGGCCAAGCTGCAAGGTCACATCCAGTTGGCTTTCCACATGCTAACCAAAGTGAGGGGAAACTGGAAAAACATGAGTTAGCAGGAAAAACCTATCTGCAAACACAGAAGCATCAGGATAGAGCAGACAGATCTCAGAGACAAGTAAGTCATGTACTGCAAAAGACAGCAGAGCCCAGGAGAGAGGAAGAGCGGTTCACAACATCCCCGCCTCGCCTCTAGGTCCTGTACTGTCCAGGAGCCCTGGCTTACCCTGGCTCATTGTAACCGCCTAGTAACCTCTGCCTTTCAGCCCCGCCTCATTTCTTCCAAGTTGCTCCACACATCCTGGTTTTTTCTGAGACACTTCACAACTCATATTGAATATATTTTGGAATAGAAAGGCTGTCCACTTTTATGATGATTATGGAGATTAAAGCCTTATATCTCAGACTCCACTGCACAATGAGTAGCTTTCTCCATTCTTTCCACTAATTATTTAGGCTTTGGAGATGGAGCTTTTAAGGTAAGTGGTTTTGAGGACTCTAGGATGGGAGCTAGCCTCACTCTGGATCTTTCCCCACAGATATCTTAGAGTTGTTCATTCCAAGAATAGAGATATTATTGTGGTATGTAACTGCTACTTGGGGACATATGTCAGGATTTCTAATGACTCTCCACCCAAAATTTCCAAGAAAGGGTTAATCCTGATTTCTCATAAAGTTCCTTTTCCTTTAGTCATAATTGTGGAATCTTCATATCATCAAGGCTGCCCCACTAAGAACGTGGCCATATGCATGAAAAGCTCAGATACTGTTTCTGTGCTAATCTCTCCACAACGGTGACAGAGACTTTGAAAGAATTCCACTTGTCCATCCTTCTGCTTCTCCTGCTCCTTAGTTAGACAGAGTCTAAAGTGCTAAATTGCCCATATGGGGCTCAAACTTGCAGTCTTCCTGACTCAGCCTACTGAGTACTGAGATTACAGTCATGTGCCACCACACCTGGCTTCCCTTTGCCCTTCAAAAACCACAAAGTACTGATGAAAGAATTGCGTAGATTAGGCTTTATCAACTGATTAAAATGATAAATACTAAGATTAAACAACATGAAAAGATGTTTATGATTCAATAAATAAGGAATAAACTCAAAATTCTAAGTCTCAATCATGTAAAAATGGTGAAGTCAGTTTTTTGTCTTTTTGGTTTTTTAAAATACAGTCTCACTATGTTGCCCGGGCTATCCTCAAATTCCTAGGCTCAAGTAACACGCCTGCCTCAGCCTCCCAAATAGCTGGAATTATAGGTGTGTCCCAGTACTGCATGGCATATCCAGGCATAAGCACTGCATTTTTCCTGGTAATTCTCAACAAAGTAAGTCAGGTAAACATGATTTATCTACTGATCTCGGTATGTAAGATAAAATCCATCAGGCATTTTTGCCATGGATCACTTTGACTAGAGATGAGTCACTGTTTTAGTTTGGGTCCAGAATTTTCCCTACATTTACCTGATTTTGTGCTCTATACTGATCCATAGCACTCTCAACCGATAGGACATCCTGATAATGAAGAGCTGCCAGTCTTTCTGTCCGCAATTACTTTACTTAGATCTGTGAATTAGAGACCCTTTGTTTTGCACTACAGAAATTTCAACAGTTGTATTTAGGTTGAGTATTTGTTTGTTTGTTGTCGTCCACCATGTTCTAATTCTGTGACCAAGTGGTAGGATGATTCTCCTCCAGTATGCTAATAATTTCTACAAAGTTTCTGTGAATGCCTTCTCCAGCTGAGAGAATACTCTCTAAATCTCTTGAAACTTGCTGTGTCGTCTGCATCCGGGAGAGGAAGAGGAAGCTGAGGATAGGCTGAGCACAACCTAGAAGGTCAGCATTACAAATAACTCATTTTATGACTATTTTCTGTCCTAGTCACAAGAAGTCTGTTTGACTAGTGGAAAGAGTAAAGACAATTCAAACTCTTGCTGTTTGCAAGAGTTTGTCTAATTATTTCAGGTCTATCCCAGAAGACATTTGTTGTATTTGTGGGCACTTATCATCTCTTGAAAGCACTTCCCACATGGAGAGAGTCCTGGCTTCTCAGGATAAGACTAAAGCTCTCTATCCCGGCCATTTCTGCAGCCAGGGTGCAAGTGCATGACCTAGTTTCTGTAATCAGATACAGCCACATGACACTGTGATGAGGCAGAGGAAATCACGAGAAAGCAGGTATATCATGCAGAGTCTGATTTTTGATGAAACTGTGGGGCATGGAAGAAGCACAGAATGAGTAGCACCCTGGTGTTAGTAATCCCCTGGGGGGCTCTCAGTGCGGCCACAGTGGGATGGTGGTGGTGCTGTCTCTTCCAACAGCCCAGCAGTGTAGTTTGGTTATTAATTCTTTCTAAGTAATCTCAGAGCATGATTCTTTTTCTTTGGAGACAGTCAATGTGTTGATACCTTTTAGTACATTCATTTTTTTTTTCAATTAGCAAGTAGGTATTCTATTGTGTGCAACTAAAAGTCTTGAACAATATGCTTATTTTCATGATTTCATAAAGGGCTAAAGGGCTTAGAAATTGTTTCTTTTTCTTGTTCATCATACTTCATCAATATGTTGATATAAGTAAGACCACAGGTAATAACATATCCTAAATTTTACTGGCTGCTTAGCATTAATTCCAAAGTTTCTCCTGGAATCTCTAGGTTGCCTCATATATAAAATAAATAGTCCTTGTGTTCCTCTCTTTTGCTTCTCATGCTGTTATCAGTGACTTAAGAAACCATTTGGAGCTTTTGGCTCTGTTCTGAGGTCAGTGCCAAGCGTGATAAGACTGGTGCTCGTGACAAATGCATGCCACCTGCCAGGGCTTTCAGTGTCAGGACCCGCTGCACTGTGTCTCAGGCCCACTTGTTTTATGGGTGTCCCTGTGAAACTGCTTCTTTTAAAGAATGCATGAAGTTCTTCTCTTTGTAGGGGTCAGACATGAGACTGGGCTGAGAAGCCAAATAGGATGCTTGTTTTTCTTGATTCTCAAATATACAGTCTCTTCTTCCCTCTCCATGGATGCAAATAGTTACCCCTGCCTGTACCAGTTTATCGTTCAAGTTTTGTCCTGTTTCCTCAGAATGGAAACAATTTAGGATTAAGCTGGTGGACTTCTGAAGTATTGTTTTTTTTTAACACTTCAGAGTTGTAGGTGTCATAATACTATTTTTCTATAAGAAGAAAATTATGGCCTACAAATCGTCAGTTTGTCATATGAAATTTGTGCTGACGCAGCCTGTCTGTGCCCGAATGCTTTTTACCTGATGTCTTCTTTCCTTATACGCTGGGTAGTATTTGTGTATTCACAGAACACAGGCAGTTTCCGTGGCAAGTAGATCCAGAATGTTGGCATAAGCACTGAGTCTCAGGAAAATGAAGC